TCCCTTGTCCTTTGCACACTACACCCTATACATGGAATGGGCAGAGATGTTTTTTTTACCACTTACATCCACACAGCAAGATCCCCTTGACCCAGTTCCCTCCACCCCATTGAAGTTTGGGTGCAAATCACCCGTCCTGCCCTCCTGAAAATCCAAACTTGTGAGTGAACCAGCATTCCATGATTATCCACTGCCTGAAAGAGCACGTCCTGTTGTAACACAGATAAACGTGTGTAAAGACAATTCCCAAGCCTTGGGGCGAGGGTGGGAGAGAGCCACATGTGGAGGGATTGCACTGTGTGCTGATGGACTTTAACATCCCTGCATTGCAGGAGGGGAGGGGATGGACAGGAGTATCATCACCTCGGAAATGTCAAAATCCTCCCTCCCAGCTAATAGAGGAGGGAAGTGGGGAGATGCAATTCCTGCTTCCCAGTTCTAGAGGTTGCTTTGGGAGCCCTGCTTGCTGCACACACGGCCCAGGCTGTCCCCTGGGTGACCCTCCAGGGCTCTGCCTCCCTCCTGGCTGAAGAGGGATCATCATGTGAGGCTGTTCTCTGCCAAACTAAGCTCTGCTTTCTCCAGAGCGGAGCCTGCCAAGGCTCAGCTTTAAGTTCTGCAGGATTTGCAACCGAGGGAGAATCGTGTTTCTCACAGGATCCAGAACCTGGCCTGGCTTTTCCCTGTGTAAATCGGGGGCTGTTCCACCCATCTCAAGGGGGACAGATCCCAGGAGAGACCTGGACCACAGCACAAGCCAGGATTTCCCCCGTGCATGATGCCACCAACCAGGGACAGGCTCAGGTGCTGCACCGGAGTGTGGCTGGAGAAATGCCACTGGATTACTCCTGTGCCTGTGGGCAAAGATCCCTCTCACCCCACTCCCCTTGCACTGACACCTCCTGAACTGCAAAAACAGGGATGGAAAGATCAGCTGGATCATCCTCCCCAGTCCTCTTGTAAAGTGGATCCTGCAGAACATCACAGGCTTTTCCAGCTTTATCCTACGTGGATGAGCCACTCAACAGAGCTCCTGTGACCAGTGGTGGGGAACAAGCAAGAGCAAAGCCAGGGAAAGGTTTCCAACACACATCCTCACATCCTTCATGTCCTCTTTCCAAAGAGCAGCCTGGCATCTCCAGGAACACTGTGTCCACTCAGACACTGGTGCTCCCAGCTCACCTCCTTTTCCAGCTCATTACGGGGTTGATCCCATCCCACCCCGCTCTGGGTGTTACAGTGAGCAGCAGAGGGGACAGGAGCCCCACCACGACCAGCAGAACACAGGAAGGGACAGACATTCCTGCTCCAAAGTGATGCCACCACATCAGATCCCAAGCCAGTGCCCATCTCCTCCCATGAGACATCCTCTTCCAGCCCCTCTCCGGGCACACATTGACCACACACATCCCCAGCAAAACCCCAAGCTGCCTCACACCCAGGAAAAATGACATTTCAGATGCCAGCTAACATTTAATTCAGCCCAAAGAGCCTCTCCTGGGATCATGTCCCCTTGCACCAGCACCCTGGGCTACTGGAAGTGGAGATTCCCAGCATGGAAGTTTTGTGCTAATTTTTGTTGCTGTTTTTTTCCCCTCCTGAACCAAACCCTTCTCCCTTCTGAATCATTTCTTGCACTCTGACTGTCTTCAGACCAAGTCAGGCCAGATACCACTGATTAAACAATAAAATAAATAACATTAAATGCCTTTTTTTTTTCTGTTCCATGTGGGGTCAGTCAAGGCAGTGCAAATTAGCCGGAAAAACTTTAAATTTTGTTAATGCTGCTACTGTGACTCCACATGGACCCCAGACTCCCACAGGACAGGGAACAGGTTACATCTAATCCACCCTTACCCACGAATTCTGCATCTGAATTTCCTAAGTCTTCCTTCATTCATTCCAATCTCTCTCTTCTTTTTTTTTTTTTTTTAACAAACCAAAAAATGAACAGCGCTAACACTTAAAAAAAAAAAAGAAAAAACGCCAAAAAACCAACACATTTTTGCTCTTAATCTGGCCCCCTGGGTGTGGAAGAGCCTGTTGCTGCTCCCAGTAGCTCCTTTAGGTTGAGCAGCTCAGTTGCTGCTGTGCTGGAGAAGGTCCCATGGGGTTACTGTGGCACAATAAATCACGTCAGCACATCCCTAAAAACTCGGCACATCACTTCCAGAGGGAGCTGGTCCCTCTTCCTTTATCACTTTTAAATAGTTATTTTTAAAGCCTCTTTTATCCTGCTCTGTAAATACATTATTTTCTGCTTTTAAGAAGCTCCCACTGCTTCCCCCTCCTCCTCCATCATTCCTGAAAGGATGTGGCTGGAGCACGGGAGCATCACTGCTCTCAGGGATCGTCTCCCTTTTGCTCCACCAAACTTTTCCCAAAGATTCCAAGAATCTGGATCCACCAGCACCGCTTGGCCTGATTTAAACAGGTGCCCCCGTGCCGTGGTGGAAACAGGAATTTCAACAGCTCGGCCAAGGAAGAAGCTGGAAGGGGTGGACAGAACTCAGGGCAACAGGCACACGTCCCCTGCTCCCCCTGGCAAATGCACACTTTATATTTCCCCTCGTTTTGGGAGAATAATTAACCAAAACCTACAGGAAAATATAGTTTCTCAGTCCCTGCTTTGGCACAGATTTTCTCCAAGTGTAACTCTCCACAGCCCTCGTGTGCTTCAGGATGAGTTTACTCTTTAATTAGAAAGTATTAATGGGGAGGGGACACAGTTTGGGGAGGGTCAATGAGGGATTTTCTGCTCAAAGCAATCAAATCACTGCGAGCTGATACAGGGGAGGCTTTAGGCAGAGATGGTTGAGATGGGATTGTTGCTGTTTGCACGGACAGACTAAAAAAATCCTGGTCCTCTCCTCAAAAAAGAAAAATACCACAACGCACACACATAAACACACAAAAAAAGAAACAACCCGAAGAAAGACAAGGGGAAAATTAAATTAAAATAAAATAAAGCAGCATGATACTAAATCAAGTGTTTTGGGACTGCCCTGGACTAGGAGACAAGGAACTTTACTCCCGATGTTGGGATGTGCACGGATGTACCCAGGGGACTCCTGTGCCACCCTCCAGGCCCTGATTCCCACGTCTCCAGGGCTGCTCCAGCCACGGGGGTGGCCGTGGGTTTATATCTTGCTTGGGGATAAATAAAGAGGGAAAGGTTGAGGATAAATAAAGAGAGAAAGGGGTGGGTGGTGGTGGGGAGGGGGGTGAGAGGGAATTTAGGCAGCCAATGTAACAGCTCCCGGCCTCTCCCCCGACTCCCCCACCCCAATCAAACCCTCCTTTGCATTTCCATGGCCTAAGGGGGGTTTCTCCTTGCGAAAGAAACGTCTAAAACCGCTCGTTGGCACCGGGGAAGGATGGAAAAGAAAAACAAAACACCCTAAAAAAACCCAAAGTGTCGCCGCTGCCGCCCCCCCCCCCCCTGCACACACCTGATACCCCCGGCTCGGAAAGGGAGACCTCCTGCCCCTCTCTCCATCTCCTCCTTCCCAGCCTTTTCCCTCCCGCAGCTCCGGGAGCGGGGACAGGGGACCGGGAAGGCGAGGGGTGGTCCCTTCGCTCCCCTCGCTCGGGTGACAAGGGAATATTTATGTTGGTATTGGAGGAATGCGCTTCCTTCTCCAATCAGGAATGCAACCGGAGTTTCTAATTATAAGTTAGATGGTGGCTGGGAATAAAAGATTGCTTTTTAATGACTCCCCGTCCAGGTGCTCTCTCTCTCTGCCTTGTCTTCCCAAGAACACATTTGCATTTTATTGCTTTTCTCCCATCCCAGCGAATTCCCTGCTTTTCAGACATACCTGAAATAGTTGGAGAGGCTGCTGCCTTCAACACCCTCAACCTCCGCACCGCCGGGCAAGGGGGGGAACGGCGGATCCCGCACGGATCCAGCACGGATCCCGCACGGATCCCTCCCGAACCCCGCGACCGGCTGGGGGGCAAAGGGGGGGGAGGGAGGAGCGGGGAATAAACGCACTTAAAAAAAAATTAATTATTACGAGGAGAGGGGTTTTTTTGGGGTTTGTCTGGTGGGCGCTTCTGAGCCGTTCGCCGGCGGAGCAGCCCCTCTCCCAACCCGGCGGAGCCTCCGCGGAGCCTCCCCGCGCCCGGGCTTCCCCGAGCCCAATTACCTCCGCGGGGTTTAATTAGAGCAGATCGTGCGCTTACATGCCTTGCCCAGCACCATTTGCTTTTTTTGTGGGGGAGTGAGAGAGAAAAGGCTCTTAAAGGCGTAGGGTGCAAAGCGCGGAAAAGGCAAAAACAACCCCCCCCAAGGCGCGGCGCCCCCCCCCCCCCCCCCCCCCAAAAAAAAAAGTGCGTTATCCCCGGGAAAAGGGGCGAGAGGGACCCGCCGATCCCGCGCCGGGCTCGTCTCTCCCAGCGCCGTCCCCGCTCCCTGCTCTGCCTTCCCAGCACCCAGGTTGTGGAGCCTTCACCTCCTTTCTCTTTCTTCTCATTTCCCCCCCCCCTTTTTTTTTTTTCCTCCCCCCTTTCCCCCTAAATATTCCTTAAAGCGAAGTGGGGGGGGAAAAAATTCCCAAAACTTTTCATCCTTTCCCCCCCCACACACCCCTTTCCTTCCACCTGACTAGCTCGAAATCACCTTGAAATGCTCATGTCAACTTGTATCATTATCTCTTTAATTCAGGCAGCGCCTTTTGTTCTTCACAGGAGAGGATCAAAGCACTTAAAAAAAAATAACTTTCCGATCGCTCCCTCTCGCTCTCTCTCTTTTACAGTAGGAGAAGGAGAGATCAGGTATAACCCAGTCAAAATAAACAAAGTGAATGCATAAATAAAAGAGGTGAAATGCAGGTTCTAAGAACTTGCTGGCGCTGGAACAATCCCACCTCTTTAGCTGAGTGGCAACGAAAGGAGAATTTCAAGTCATCTTAAGCGCAGGGGTTGCAGAGAAAACAGAGGAGGGGAAAAATAAATGAAAATGAGAGGAAAAAAAAAAGAAGAAGAATAAAACTTACCACCAGATTGGGTAACTTGACAGAGCCTGACTCAACCCACAAAGAAACAGGAAATATCCAAAAGAGGCCATTGATGAAAAGTTGTCTTTCTTTTTTTTTTTTTTTTTTAACCAGAGTTGCCAAAAACCTTCCTTTCTTCTGAGGCAGGATGATTATTTTAATAATAATAATAATAATAATAATAATAATAACAACAATAATTTAAAAAAAAAAAAAGTCAAATGAAGTGAACTCAACCCCGACCAGGTAAATCCTCTCTCTCGCTTCCTCTACTACTCTCAAGGAAAAAAAAAAAAAAA